AGATCCTCGGGTTCGAGTCCCTACGGTGGCAGGATTTTCCACACTAGATACGAGTAGATAAATAGGTCTGGTTCAGTCTCTGTATTGAGAGAATTCTAATGGACGGCTGCTTTGATCGATAATTTTGCGTGGTTTCTCCGATCAATACCAGGCGAATGCTCGGGCAGTACCCGAACAAATGGGCCACGGACCGCGCGAGATCTTTCCTTCTTCCTCCTTGTCTTTTCCTCACACCTTACGTACACACACTTACACTCACATGCACTACACTATCACACATGCCGGGAGACCGGTCGAAGGTTACAGCGTGTCCCGGATGGGGTGATAAGTACCTTGGTGGTAGATATCTGGTTGGGGGAAAAATCCCCACAAGCCGACGTAGGCAGATCTCGCTAACAAACGGGGGATTATCGCCACCTCACGCACTAAAAACATGCATAACACTTACGGGAATAACACCATTAGCAGTGGCCGTGCCCGGACTTATGAAACTGACTGTGAGCAGTTCAGTAGCGGTACATGACAACAGCTGAGTTCTGATGAGTTTTCTTACGCTATTCTCTGACTGCATTATTATTGTTTTTACACATACTTATTTTTGTGTGTGTTTACTCACGTTTTCTTAAATTTTTGTATAACTTACTGGATTAGTATTTTTTACACACATTTCTCGTCAAAACTGAGACATTTGGAAGACTACTTATTACGAAAAATATCCACTCCTTCCGGATCTGAAATATCATGCATTTTTTGGAAAAATTCTGCCGGTTGATGCACTGAGAACGAGCCCCCGAGCAGTCGGTCTCAAGACCGGAGCATCGGAGCAGGTGCGCCGCGCGCGCGCCAGCCCAGCGGGCCGCCGCCGCCGCAGCCGCCGCAACGCGGAGGGGGGGGGCGGGCCCGCGCAAGGACTGCTGTCGCCGGGCCACGAAGCCGGCTCTGAATGGCAGGCAATCTGCGCGCCGCGGGGCGTCGCCTGGCGCGGACGCGGCGCCGCGGACGGCGCTGGACGGAGGTGGACGGAGGAGGACGGAGGAGGACGGCGGCGGCGCCGTCCGATGCAGTCGCCCGCTTTGCCGGCGGGGGCGGGAGGGCCAGCCCTTTGCTTGGAGCTGCGGGTGGGAGCGGCAGCTGCGGTTGGGAAGGCGGTGGGGGGCCCTGGGCCGGATGCAAGTCGAGTGGTATTTGCGTCGCCTTCCCTTCTCCTCGGTTGCGCCCTGCTGAGTTTTCTTACACTTTTTTTCGACTCACTGGATTAGTATTGTTTTACACATACTTATTTTTGTTTGCGTTCACCTATATTTTCTTACATTTTTCTCTGACTTACTGGATTAGTCTTTTTTTACGTATATTTCTCGTTTGCGTTTGCCTGCTTTTTCACACATTTTTTCTTTAGCTCATTAGATTAATATTTTTTTACACAAAATTTTCGTTTGCAATCTCCTGCATTTTCTTACACTTTTCCCTGATTTTGTGAATGAGTATTTTTACATACTTATTTTGTATCAAGGTACTTGAATTTCTGTTTACCTGTTGCTGTTTCTCGAATGATTTACCTATGTTCTTACATAGTTACCTGTATTTTGTTTTAAACATACTTTTTCGGTCAGGCTATTCGTTTACTTAACCTCTTCATATTTCTTCACTTCATTTTCTTTTCTGTTTACTTGTTAATGCTTTTCCAATGATTTTTCCGTAGGAATTTTTCTAGAAATAAACACTTCCTTTCTTACTAAATTACAACACATTTTATGTATAGTTATATATTAAGTATTTTATATACACGTGTTAAGTTTGTTATTTTGTCAATACTTTTATTTTTTACACTACTTTTGTCTTCCCGGTCCTTTGCTGCATCTTGATGATCAGATACGTCTTCTCAAACTTTTCTGTTATCATGGCATGTGAGTATTTGAAATCCGCCAATTCCTTTCTGATTAAGGTTTTCTTACATTCAACATGCTTCTATTTTTACTCTTTTTTCACCTTCTCGTTCGTCTCTTGGATCACCTCGTGTATGCTTTGCTACGTCTTCTTATACTTTCAAACTTTTCTTTTCCTCTGAAGTAAATATTTTGTACACTATTTTCTTCCAGTAGTAAGGTTTTATTCTAGTCAACTTCCTTTTATTTTTACTCTTTCCTTCCGCTCTTGTTTGTCTTTTAGGTTGTCTCTTCTAAGCACTCCCACGTCTTCTAGCAGTATCAAACTTTTTTTGTTTTGCTGAATTACTGATTCGCAATTATACAATACAAATAATGATGGAACAGCAGGCAGGAAAACACGAGACAACTTTAAAAAACTTGCCAGACTCACTTGTCCACCACAGATTCTTCATGGAATCGATTGGGATTTTAAACTCGGTACCCTAAGATGGAAGTTGAGCAATCTGACCACTTGGCGTAGTCGTCCGCGAAGAATGGACTTATGCCAGCCCGCAAATCTTAGTCACAGCTGGAGTGAGCGAATGAATTGATTAGGTGGTCTACTGCGTCGAAATGAATGCTAATGGGGCAACGGAATGAGACACGCGCGGAGCGAGGGCACCTCAAGATAATCAAGACTTGTCTACAACAGACTGCCAACGCATCTCCCGAGATTTGAATCCTGTGCCCATCAACGGAAGGTGAACACCTCTCCACTCCATCACGTGCCGTGCAGTACCTTTAGCGGCGGACATATCGGGCTGTTCTATTTAAGTTTGCGGGAAATACCCTGAACGAAGACGTGTTTTAAGGGCGAAAAATCCTTCGCACGTCTTCCTTCGGAGTAAATGTAAAGACAGCTGCCCCTTGTTGTAGATTTATTGCATATAAAAGACCCACAAACATGAAAGAAGCCTCTGAGCTGAATTCAAATCTCTCGTTTCGTCCCCCCGAGTGATATTTCTTTATTCGCTGTTGATGGTGAAAGGAGCGTATCGAAATTTCCTTGATCATCCGGAAGGCTGGCCTGATGACCTCGCCATGAAAATTAATTTTTGATTAGTTGATTGATAAGTGATTCCTGGCGCGTTCACTCGCAAGTAATTAGTCCAGTACGTGTAGTGCATTTTTTCCTCGGGAGGTGGCGATGATCACTCCTCGATGGAAGATGAAATCCGGTGCCGACTTACCTGTCGGCTAACGGGCTTTTCCCTAACGAGGTATCCCCCACCAGCGAGGCAGCGCCCCAGCCGGGATAAACTCTAAGCTGCCAACCGGTCTCTCGGAATGTCTGGTAGTGTAGTGTATATAAGTGTGTGCGCGCGTGTAAGCGAGGGGTGAGGGTGGAACACCGTGGCCCGTTTTTAGTGACTACTCCGGCCTAGGACCTTCCGGTCAGAGGCAGTGACATCAGTTGATGCTCTGAGCCATCTCTCTGGGTTCGGGACGCGCACCAAGGACCTGCGGGAGAGTCACTGCATTGACATCCGCTGAAGCCCTTAGCCGCCTCTCCCGGTTCGCCACGTAAAGTGAAAGCCGAAAGAGAAGTGAACTGCCGTGAAGGAGAGCGCAGCAGCGCGGCCGAGGGAGCGAGAGCGCGAGGGCGAGGGCGGCGGCGTCTCGGCAGGTGCGGCGCGGCGGTCGCCGAGGAGATTCGCTCCCTCGATAGACTTATTAGCCGGCGCGCAGTCGTTGCTATGACAATTCCCAATTACACTGCTCCTCGCTCACTTCCCTCACGCACCGGCCCCCGCCCCGCCCCCCTACCTACTCTCGTCTCCTTTCCCCGTTGTAATCGTTCTTTATGATCCCTTTCTATGCTCCGACTCCTAGGCGCCGCACTCTCTTGTCAACGGTTCGTATCACTTCTGTACACGCACGCCGCCTCGTCAACATTTAGCCCCCCCTCGTCATTGCACCCATCCGTCCATATTCGTCGTGTTCTCCTTCCTTACGGTTTGCTATTCGCCAGTCCACATCTCCACCTCCAGCCACGCTCTCCAACCTTTAGCCATCGTCATCACCTAAACCCACCGTTCTCCACGCCAGCCTACGCTCCATCCAAGATATGCACGTCTCCACCAGACTCCTTCACGTTCCTCCACAGTAAACGTCCACCACACAGCCACGTCTCCACCAGCCACGTCTCCACCAGCCACGTCTCCACCAGTCACCACAGTCCCGCACCAGCCACGTTCTCACCAGCCAGTCCACGTCTCACCAGCACGTCCCACCAGTCCCATCAGCCACGTTCCCACTCAGCCACGTCCTCCTCAGTCAGTCACGTCCCCACCAGCGCCACGTCTCCTCCAGTCAGTCCCAACCAGTTCCACGTCCCCACTAGCCATCGTCCCCTCCACTAGTCATGGTTGTTTCTACCGGTCACGACTCGCCCATAAACTAATACCCAAATCACTGAAACATGAGAACCATGAGAACTCCCAAGACCTCTCAACCACCATCTCCTTTATCCGCTCGTTTTCGCGTCTCCGCTCCAACCCGCCGCCCTCCACCCTTCCCCTCCCCACTCGCTGTCGCCTGCTTCCCCTCCGTCGCCATGGCACCCCCATCTTCCGCGCGAGGGCGCCACCTGCCGCGCCGCCGCCCGGCCAGAGGGCGCGCGCACCCGACCCGACCCGACCCGACCCGGCCTTCCGCTGCCCCTCCCGGCTGCGCCCTCGGCTGCCTTCTGACGCCGCGATTTGCGACTCAAGCCGTCTGATTTCCTTGTTTCAATGCCACATTCTTGCTAACTGAATATTTCAAAATACCTTGTCTGGCTGGCGTTGCAGTAGAACCCTAGGAGTGCTTAGTTTGACGTAGGCCCCAGGCACAATTTTTTCGTTCATCTCAGAACAAGTTATTTAAACGTTTTTGGAATAAAAACGGTAGCTTAGAGGACAGATAAAACAACTCATTCGTAATGTACTCTCTTTTGCGACCGAAAGATTTCTCTTTTTCTGATTTTTAGTTTTCTTCCCACTCTTTCAAAAAGCTGTTTGTAATGTAATGTGTATATTGTAATGTATAAACTACTGAAGTATTTTTTTAGGATCAAACAATCGTTAATGTTGCTTATATATTTATTATTAATCTAGAAATAAACATTCAAAAATGTTATCAGGAGATCCTACAGTAAGCCTCTCGTATTCGAAGGTCCAAGGCAGTCCGCCTAACATACCTACTCGTTAATCCGGCCCTCGTAGTAGTTTGAGTAAACAGCACAAATTTCGACATTTTATTACGAATATCAGTTTCAGATGTGCATTATTAAATGTTATTGTTGTTGACAAAAGAACGGACGGAGAAACATTTTTGACAAAAATCCAATAAAATTGAATACAATTGAAATTCCTAATAAACAGTTGATTTGTGCTGTTGTACCTAGAACGGCTGCTGTTCTAAGGTAAAGCGGTCAATACAGGATATTTTTAAATATACAACTAGTAAGTCAAAATGCCTAATCTTGCACAAAGGAGTTCTGTATTTGGTTAAGGGAAAAGATGAAATAATAAATATCGAGTGTTCGTTCCAAATAATATTAACACGTGTAAAAATACTTTCAAATCCGAAATGCGAATTCGATTTTCGATGCCACGAGCATCAGAAACTATACCATCGCGATGCCCAACAAAGTAGTCTGCATTTACCACAGTTACCATTACAGTGGTTACCAAAGAAGTGGTAGGCGTCAAATGCTCTCAGCCTAATCAAGAAATAATCCACTGATCTCACACCCCTTTGCTGTGAACATTTCTTCATATGTCCCAAATCCCATAGTCCCGTGTTGATCAATCGCCCAATTCATTTAAATAGCAGATGATATATGTAGAAGTGTGGATGTGTGTGGGTGTGATTTATACCTTATTTTTTGAAAATAAAACAAAAAATGAACGTTTCATTATTTCTTCCTTTTTTGATAACAAGATACAGATATCTATAATGCTCAAACTTCTCACATTTAACACTTTAATTATATTGTATTGTTATTTGCATTATACGAGTATTGTAAACATACATCGTGCGCATACGATTCACGTTTATTGACTTTATTAAATATTAATACGCCAACCACGTTATAAGGAAAATAAATAGTTGCCACATCTTCGGTAACTAACATTTGTTAATAACTCAGTTCATTTACAAAGCATAAGTTTTGTTTCATGTGCTTCCACTAAATTCCTTAGTTTTTTCTCATCCTTTTGAAAATAATTACATACGTTATGAAATGTAGTTATCAGAGTAATATGACTATAATAAGTTGCCAATTCATAAAGGAAATTTCTCCTTCGGAAACGTTACAAATAAATGTTCTTAAATCTCAAAAATACAGGATATTCGTGGTACCAATTCAGCGAAGGTAATCTGAATGAACGAATGAATTAATAAATGGATGAATGAATGAATGAATGTATAAATAATATATTCCCCCTGGATTACGTGTTTTCTTTCAATTCCCCTTGATCCAAAGAGCAAATGCTGACTTGCCTCTCATGCTTACGCTTACACTTTGCTTGCTCTTTGCTTATGGGCATTCTATGTACCTTTTATCTCGCCAAACATTAACTGTTTGTAAGGTAATCAAATAATTCGATAAATAAATACTCTCCGTCGAAACACCGTGCTTCATAATTCCAATTAAGAGATAGAAAAAACCGACCCATTTGCATTTGTCCTCCTGTAGCCCTTTTTCTTCCTACAGGTAGATCCCACGAGCGCCCTTACAGACGGTGCCGCGCCACCTTGGAATTGCTTTGCAGACATCGTTCCAAACGAGGGCAGCAGCCATAGTGGCTAAGCACACGTCAAAGTTAATTTTACGAGCCCGTAAAAATGCTGGGTATTCAGAAACATTACTCTAAGTTCACAACGCGTGCGGAGACGCTTTCGAAAAAGGCGTTTCGACATTCTACCTGCGCTTGACCTGGAAACGGAGGGTCGTCTTTCAGTTGATGACCCCGTGCTTAGCGGGTGTGGAAAGCCATAACCAACTCGGGAAGAACAAAAGAAATGCAGTCTTTAGAATAATTTTATGAAGCCGTAAAATGGTAAAATGGTGTTTTTCCTATTCGAAGCTCCGGACTTGTCTGGTAGTTTCCAAATGTGTTTAAAAGTTGCTGGGGAGGGACGAGTTTTGAAAATAAATGCTTTTACTCGTAGTCTTTACCGTGATTTGTTAACGTTTGAAATGCCTATTTCATGGCTTCGGGGATACATGTTTATCTGCAATATCTGTCAAGTACAGCCGCAATTGGAGGCCGGTGTGGATGGAGTTATGAAGATTTGAGCTGGAGTTCATCACTATTCATGGTTGTGTCATGACAATACTTTTTTTTATTTACAATTTGTAAACGCAACTTCTGACTAGTTTCGCCAGACAATATGTAAAATAATTAGAAAGAATATTATATTTCTTTGGTGAAATGATCTTCCACAAATGGTTTTAAAGATGTATTTGTTCTGTATGTTTTCTTAATAATAATATATTGAATGAACAAACAAAACATAATGATTTTGTTTCTAAGATAATCCTTGTAAAACGTATATTTTTGGGAATAAGTTCGAAATAATTTCTACACAAAGCGCCAAACTTTCATTTGTTAGTAGGTCATTATTGAAAATATAAATTACCTGCTAATATAAGGCAAGGCCAAAGGTATTTAAATACGAAAATCCACATCCTATTCTAACCTTTCGAATTCTGGTATTCAACCAATTTGTTCTTTCCTTTGCATGAAAGATGTGAAAAAATACCGTGAGGTATGACTGATGTAATTTGATGTAGAACAACAGTGAACTAATTTAATTTGAATTAATTGTATGGTTTTAATTTTAACAATTAACGCGAAATGACATCTAGATAATTATTATATCGTTCATGGGCAGCATAATGGTCTTACTAAAAAACTACGAATTTTGTGCTATAATAAGATATTTAGTAACATTATATAATTCTAATTTTATTATTAATTATATTGTTAATAGGACTTGTATTAAATCATTTGGTAATTTCTACTCCTTAATCCATAAACTATTAAGCGTGTTACACATGCATTTCTACCATTAGCAAAAATATTAAACAAGTTAATCAGTAAACTTAGCGTTGTGGCGTAATTGTAGCTCATGAACAATACAAAGTTTCTAAGATTAATTTATTTACGTTAATATAGTAATAAGAAAAAAACGTTGATATCTGAAAATTCGCATTTAAGACTACATTAAAACTAATATTGAATTCTAGACCAATTTACCTTGCTGCATTTAACTGTTTTACATTTCAAAATACTTAATATTAATGATAAGAAAATTGAGCTTAATATTGATTATAAGAAGTTTATTGAGTTAAATATTGTTGATAAGAAAATGTACGCTTTTGAACTTCGCTACGATAATCATTGCTGTACTGCGAACCATAACACAAAACAGTAGTGTATGTAACAAGGGCGAGAAACAGGTGATTCACGCAGGAGTAGAGTTTGTCGCCGAGCGTAGAGGACGACAAAGAGACGAGTGCGGGATTCACCTCGCGCCCGTGCTGCGTGTACTACTTTTCAATACGCCGTGAGCGAAACGCAACGCGTTAAGTAAAGGAATATAAATTAAATATCAAATAACTAGAAATACCTTACTTGTTCAAAAGTAATTGGATTCCAGTCAGTGTCGTTACTCTATTGTTTGTAAATAGTAAACAAAGACGTCGTCAAGACGCAAGATAATTGCAAATCGTAACGGACGTTTCGCACATGCTTCATGATGTTTCGCACACGCTTCCTGATATTTCACAAACTGAAGAAAAATAGCTGATTCGCACGGGGAAAACAAACACGAGAAAACCACGTTTCGCGCACGGCGAATTAAAAAAGTACAAATTAGTCAGCAGGACTTCCAAGGAGATCGTTCTATTCCATAATTGATGTTTGAAAGAATACTTTTTACATCTCACAAATCCTCCAAACCGATTCCTTGGCATTGACTTACGCAGCAACCGAGAGAGGGCAAGTGTTTGGAGGCAGAGCATTGGATCTCCGATTAGGGCACGCCTTCATCCTGCCCGATTTGCGTAACAGGAACACAAACGATCCTCTTGCGTCCCCACGTCACGTAGACTGAGGGAGCGGTTTTATTGGGTCTTTCTTTAAAAGCACAACGACCCATCCGCTTAGTGGCACATGCAATGCAACAAGGGCACGTCGAAGGGAAAGACTGAACTTACGTTTACAGCACAGTGTTACCCGGTTTGTCAAAAGGAAAATAGGGTGTTCAAAATGAAACTTTCAAAATGGGAGAGCCGTAATCAAGATTTGAAGAAGTAGAAGAACGAAAACATTAAACAAGTCATGGGAATTAAAGAGAAACAGCTATTAGTTTCATGTGATGAAATGCAATAAAAAGTTTAAAAAAAAGAGAGTGAAAAACAAACAAGATAGCTAGCTAATAACGAAGAAAAAGTTGCATTCGATTAACCTGCCTAGGCGGAGGGAAAAAGCACAATTAAAGCTAACACATCTATCTAGCTAAAAGTCAACAGATTGAGATCTGGAAACTTTCAAATCGGAGCATATTTCAATTCATTATGATCCGACTCTCCAAACCATCAATAAATCTTCAATCAGATATGTGTTAACACACATAGATTTAATTCATCGAACTCTGAAAATGATCACTAAACAATTTTGATGGATCTAGATACATTTCAACCCAAATAGATTTCAATTCATTCTTTAGTAAACAAATCTGATAGATTGGACTGAAGATCTGTACATTTGACTGAAATGCATTCCTCAATCAACCAATCAGATTGGGATGATTTCAATATATTGAGACACAGATGAATTGGCCAGTCAGCCAACTATGATTGATATAGTAGATATATTTCAATCCGAAGGGGGGTAGATAAAATCCCTAGCCAACCAATGCAGACAGACTGTGGTACATTTCAATCCATCGTGATTCGGAAATGTTTTCAATCAAAAAATTTAGAGGGATTTCGGTCGTCAATCCAGTGTAATCCAGATACATTCTCCAGTCAACCAATTCAGACACATCTTGGTACATTTCAATCCATTACGATCCGGATATATTCCTCAGCCAACCGATTGAGATGAATCTCGATAGATCCTAATCCTTTATTGCAAATCGGGTGCATTCTCCAATCAACGCATTCAAACCGATCTAGATACATTTCATTCCTTCATTTCAATGCGGATCCTTTCCCGAATCAGCCAATTCAGAGAGATTTTGCTACATTTCAATCGATTACGATCTAGATGCAGTCTTCAGTCAACCAATTCAGACAAATCTCAGTACATGTCAATCTATTGCGATCCGTATGCATTGCTCGGTCAACCAATTTACAGAGATCTCGAACATTTCAATCCATTGCGTTCCGGAGATATTCCCAAGTCAACCAATTCCGATGGCTTTCGATTCATTGCGCTCCGGACACATTCCTCAATCAGCCAATTCAAAGGACAACGCGGGAAGACAAAAGAGTGCGGCTCCTGGGACTGGGCGGGGCGGGGCGCCGTGCATGCGGCGCGGGGGCGGTTTTATTGGGCCCTTCTTTAAGGGCGCGGGCGAGCGATTCGCACGCTGCGACGAAGGGGGACTCCGTGTCGCCCGAGGGGGAGATGCGCTCCGGAGGGAAGAGGGGGCTAATTCGACGCGTGGGGGAGGGAGGCGGGGCGGGAGGGGCGGGGATGTGTGTCGCGCATGTGCTCCCGCGGGACCATCGCCTCGTAAAAAGGTCCCGCGCTGCGCGGGAGCTGGCGAGCGCCAGCCGCGGTAACAGGAGCCGCAAGGAGCGGTCGCGAGTTTTGTCGGCACCGCCAGTTTAACGGGCGAGTGCGAAAATGGTGAATTTGCAAAAGAAATATCTTTTTTAGACAGACACTAGGTAAAGCGGTGACGTTAAGAGCACAATGTGCTAAAACTTCAATTGTTGTCTTTAGTGTGAAAAGTGAGACGATGCTCAAATATTTAGATAAAACAAGATACAATAGAAAAAGAAATACTTAGGTGGTATAAGCTACCACTGATCTAAATGTAACGTGGAAGCCAATTAAGTGATTCGTATACTTGAATAAAAATAATAGGAAAGACAGAACGTTTGTAGAAAAAGTAGTGTATGATACACGCCCTATCGGTCTCGTGTCGCAAGAATTCCTACAAGTAAAATAAAATGTCACTTTTATCACCCATATAATAAATAACTACTAAATTTCATCAGAGAGGGATCGCGTGGGATAATTTAGATCGTATACTTAATTTTTTCATGTACAGTTTTGTTTGAAGTACTTATTTCATAGTTTTTTTATCTGCAAAATCTATAATTCGTCTCATGATTCTAGTCTGTCTCCCAATTCTCAGAAATTAATTTTTATCTCGCTCTGGGATCGCAAAGCTCTTGTGAGCTCGCCTACGTTAGACCATTGTTCACAAGCACAGCCGACCAGGCCATCGCACACCGAGACTTTGCGATAACCTCCATATCCTGTGAAATAATCCATGTATCCATGATCAACTTTCAGCAGGATAAAACATTATTGATACTTGAGGAATCGTCAGCAACCAAAATTGCCGAAGGAAGTTTGCATCGTTTTGGTTATACTGAGATCAAAACTAACGGGATTGTTATGAGAGTTTGTGCGTAAAATAGCACAATGTTTGCAATTGAAACAAACAAAGAAGCAGAAGTTGCAAGAAAGAAAACTAACAAGACAACATGTGAAAATTGTACAGGAAATTTGAGCACAGAATCCCGTGAATATGAAAAATGCACGAAAACAGTAGTATAAAAACTTTTGGTTTCAATATTTTTTGTTTACATGCAACAAAAAAAGGCTTTTAGTGAATTTTATTTCTGTGTTTTTTGCTTGGAACAATGCTTAAGAAAAGAGAAGTGTTCTTTCATAGCTGCACTTATACAGCAAAAAATTTGATCATGTATATTTTATTCATTTTCAACCTGATGTTTATCTGATAGCGCGCGTTTGCACTTAAGTGCATGTAGGACTTTATAACCTATGTAAATTGTATTTTAGTGATATAACCAAACTTTTTTATTCCTAAAACATTCCTAGAAATTGTACCATTAATAAATATTGTAATTGGCGTGTTTTATTTTGTGGGACATTCTCTTTATTTTGTGTGTGTAGGCAGTTAGTTACTACACTTTGGTCCTATCGTCATTTCAATGCGCATTCGACACTTATGTTTGATCTCTTACGTTTTTGTTTATATCGTACACTACCTTAATATTAAATCAACTTACTGTAAGACATTTCTTTTGCGTTCTGAAAAAAAATGAAAGAACTTATCCCTCGAAGCGCAAAACATAGTTTCCGATGACTCGTACGTAAGGCTGAAGTGGATGCATGTGAAAGTAATGAAAACTTCATCATGGAAAATTGTGAAAGATAAATGGAGAGATTACCGTTTCAAAATGTATTGCACATTGCATGCAATAAATAATTATTCTGCAACGTGCCGCATTCGTTCGTGTCCCTGCAAATGAGCCTGCGTGTCCCCACCGGTTCGTCAACGCCAGGGAGATCAACTGGCCTCACAAACCACACACTTATCAACAGAGACCGTTAGACACGTGCGGTAGAAAACTGACAATTCTGTGCGGAAATAAATCACCAGAAAAATTCTTGAAAGTACACGGAACATTAAGGTGATTCATTTTAATAATGAAAGTTATTTTAGGCATTTCACTTCAATTAGCAAATTTCACTGCTGGTAACAACATCGCTGCATGTTTATTTATCAGCGATGCATGTATAAATGTATCGATTCTTAAAAGCACACGCAACATTACCACCACCGTTCAGCGTGCTTGCTTTCCATGACGGTTCGATGCCCGGTCAGGCAAGATTATAGAGAGCGCTTTCCTTGCAATGTCTCAGTATCTGTTGCCGTGTGACGATGAGAAAGCTCACTTCTCAGGTTAAGAAGACCAGAATACGGCATAGGGATGTCTATGTGCTAACTACACGTACCTCTCATCCCATGGCCGCAAGGCCCCGCCCCGTCAGGCTTGGCCCCGTCAGAGGGTGTTGTGTTACACAAACATGCAACATTAAAGTTATTAATTTTAATGATAGAAGTTATTTTAAACATTTCACTTCAATTAGCAGATTTCATTGCTGGTAACAACATCGCTGAATATTAACCTCAACGTAGTAATATACTCCCATTTATGTTCATTGTAGTGTTATTCAAATGTAGTATATTACGATTTTTGTATTTTTGTGACTGGGTCACCCCTGTATGCGATTGCTTTATGTTTCTCTAAAAGGAAGAAACATTTATTGAAATGCAAATGGATGTGTAAAGTTCATTTTAATTGATCCTAATAATGTACTAAACGGCAATCCATGTGAGTTTTAGCGTAATGTATCGCTAAATAACGTTAAAATTACAAAAATTAATTAGCGTATGTACGTGTGCATTTGCCCGCACTCTATATTCTTAAAAACTATCAAAGCATTATAATTAGGACATATAAGGTGTTTGAAATAAAATACTGTTTTTATTACAATATATAATTCTGTTAATCTTTTCATGTAACAGATTTTTTTGTCCTTTTAACAAAGTTTAATTAATTATAACTCTAAATTCTAATGCGTGTAGTAGTTGATAAAAAATGTATACACCGTCATATGAAAGGTGCCTTATATACATGTACAAGTTTTCGGTAAATATCCAAAACCTAAGAATCAGTTTCGATTTTGACTGAAAAAGGCAAACATTTGACTGTTCTCTATGTAGTGTCCTATAGGATATAAATAAATATTTTTATTTAAAAAAATATTATTAGTTATAATTTTAACACGAAAGATTTAGTTGCAATGTAGTTTTAATCGTGGTTACGGTTAACAATTTAATATTATTATAAAATATAAATTACAATATTATGTCAATTTAATTAATGAAAATATTTATTCGATCTGACGTACTTAAAAGTTTTCACATTTAAATTGTCCTTGAGGCATATGTGTCTTGGTTGAAAACAATCACAAGTTTAACTTTTACTAGACCCTTCTGGAAATCTTTGGGGGCCGTGATCCCGACTGCAGAATGGATTGTCAAACACCTTCCAGCGAAACTGTTGTGGAATATCTGTTGTGAACCGATCTGTGAGTGGCTGACCGTACGAGTATCGACCAGTCTTATCCACACAGTCCGATCTCTTTCCTCAGCGATTCTTATCTTTTCTTACACCTCAGAAAATTCCTGCCTGGTCAGTATTACGCATATCACAGAAGCGCAGAGTAGCAGGGGGCTGAGAAACACTGGCATAGAGGAGTTTCTCTAAGGAGGGAGTAATTAAACAGGTCGGAAAGCTAACGAATGTCTTGCAGAATGATGACATTGCAAGAGATAGTGATGAACCCATTTAGAAATGAGCCAACTGTAAGGGAACGCACTGACAAGATCAGTGCATGAACTTGCAGTTATGATTCCAGCAGTTGCCAAACAGCAACTGTCAAAGCGGTCTCTTCTTATAGAAATATCTCTATTCATATCCCAGGCGGCTAACATCTATGATACAGAGATACAAATATTGATCTCACGGTATGAAAAATGTCTCAATCATGGTAGCAATTATGTGAAAAAATAAAGCAAGTTCTGTACCTGCTACAAAAACGATATATAATAATTATAATAATAATAATAATAGTGATAATAATAATGTATTTATTAATGGCTCAAGCCATAGGGCCTGCTCTTCCGCCTAACCACTGAATTTACATACATTTAGAGTAGTAACATTTTAAGAGGGGATGACAAGCTGTATATTTACGTCTGGGAGAACAAATCTAGGGACCATCCCGACATACGCCTTAGGCCATTGAGTGAACCCAGACTTATGTAGAATGGTTTTCTTTTGTTGGCGGCCTAGGGAAAAGTACTGCCTGGATGCGCCTCGTAACTAAGGTGACCAAACGAGCACCTAGCGGAAGTGCTGCAGAAGATCTGTTGCGACTAGGGCTGTGTGTGGCAGGCCATTCGATCATCCATGCTGCAGTCCGGACCTCGCACCCAGCGATTTCCATCTTTTCTTACACTTCAAAACCAACAAGGGTGGCTCAGGGTACCAATTGTCAATGCAGTGTCTCTGAGCCGGAGATCCTAGGCTCTCACTCCCAACAGTGTCAAAATGTTGCACACTAGACTGATAGCTTGGTCGAATTCAGCCGCTGTCTGGAGGAGAATTCTCGCGGCCGGCTGCCCTGATCGGATGTTTTCAGTGGCTTCTCCAATAAACATTAGGCGAATGCCGCGGTGAGGATTTTTTTTTCTTCAAAAATTAGCAATTGGATTTATCCACTTTTTCGTAACCAGGGTCCTGCAATAAAAGTTTTTCTGCCGAATATTCAGTTTGTTTACCGCTGCATTACATAACTTTCTCTCCTCTCCATAGCGAGAAAGTAAAAAAAAGAACACACAATTGTGTTGTCCGTTTATTGACCACCCAGGGAAAATTACTTTCTGAAAGCGCCCCGAACTTCTGGCTTCCTGGGAAGCGACCAGCGTCACGCGATCGCCGCGGCAGCCTGTGTCGACAAAAAGGTCGTTGGAAGGCGCCGTAAAAATTCGCACGGCCGCCGCGGGCCGTTGCGCGCTGATTGGGCGGGCGGACGCTGACGTAGCAGGGGGGCGGGCGTTGGCCACGGCCCTCTGGAGACCCTTCTCGGTCCACGTCGCCGCGACGGCCCCGCTCTCGGTGATTAGGAGGATCTGCCCGGAACTAGCGTCTGGAGACAATCGCACGTTAAGGGTGCGTTCGAAGTGAATACGTATTCTATCTTTCGGTTGCGTAGTTTTATTGCAAGCTAAGCCACGCCCACCCAGTGTTTATGACGAATTGATTTAGGATGGGACGAACTTCTATTTACATTTGTTTATTTAAAGTCAAAAAAGGTTAAAAACTGTGTGTGACGTACTCAGAGTGATTGATTAGTGATTCTGAGTGCGCCATTGGTTCCGTAAGTGAAGTGCAGGTTTTCCTCGGAAAAACGGTGAGTTTCGCCCGCTAGATGGTGGGATCCAGTGCAAACGTACCGTCGACTTGCGGGATTTTCCCAAACCAGGTATTTCCCATCAGCAGGGCACCGCATCAACCAACACAAGCTCTAAGTGTAAGCTCCAGGCCGGTCTCCCTGCATATGTGGGGCATGTAAGTGTACGTGTGATAGTACAAGGAAGACGATCGCGCGCGGACCGTGGTCCTTGTTAGGTTACGACTCCGGCATTCGCCTGGTGTTGACCGGAGAAAATGCGGAAAACTGCCCATCACAGCAGCCGGCCGTTAGAAGTCTCCTCCAGACATCGAGTGAACTCGACCTAGCAATCTAGCTAATGTCGAAAATCCTGTCACCGCCGGGACTGCTAAGGTCGAAAGTGCTAGTCGAACCTAGGACCTCCCACTCAGAGGCACTGCAGAGACATCAGTTGATGCTCTGATCCATGTTTTCACGTAAGAATGCAATCTTCACATTTTTTTTGCATTGGGATCTCTACCCTAACCCATATAAACATTAAGTTGAAATATAAATACAGGTACCAATAAACATATCTGTCAAAAACTGGTAAGAAAATATTAATTTCCATATAATAGATATTATTTGCAGAAGAAAATGAGCTACAGATTTTGACTGTTCTCCCTGCAGGTTTATATGAAGAAATCGAGTTACTGCCACAATAACATGGAGAACGATTATTCAAAGAACTACATTTTCTACTGAGCTCAAGAAAATGTTCAGAGATAGTAAAGCAACATTTATGTTAAGAAGAAAAATAAGAGGTCATCGAAGTGTTTGCTCAGAGGATCAGCTATTAGGGAAACCAAACGAAAAATCTTATCGAGACCCAGGGAGTTTATCGATCCAGTCGTTGAGGTAAAACATTTGTTACATGCATATTACCTATTTTAGAATTATACAGTAGAAATGGTGCCTAATACTTTAAATGACCTAGTTCGGATTGGGAGAGATGATACATGGTGTAATGATAATGAGGATAGTTAGAAGAGAATGGGGTTCTGTTCATTCCCTGTTGAATAATCTGCTGCTCAGGCATTCGCCAGAACGTGATAAGTGAAACATCTAATCAGATCAGCCGGCCTACAAATTAAATTACACAATGTGTAGAGCCGATGTTGAAGACTTTAAGAAAATGTCTCTCTTTCGCGATTGAACTCTTCACTTCCAAACAAATCGTAACTGACGATAGCAAATGTCTACTACTTTCTGGAAGCTTCTGACTAATAGTCTCTGGCCAGAAAATGAAGTAAGTTGCCCTCCTGTTTAGATTTAAAAAACCTCTCATTTTGGGTTCATTTTACCGATTTGAAGGGTTATAGAACCATATCCCCAAGGCAGCAATACAAGCTACGTCTATAGTTGTATTAAAAAAAACACCTTGTTCTGTCGTTTTCTTGTATTATGCCATCTACTAACCCGGCAATGACATCAGGTTTGCCTTCGTTGACTTTACTGTACTTTGTCTATCCTCTTTTGTGTCTTGTGCAATTATAGTCAGTTTGGTATGAGGATAAAGATTAACTGTTATAGATGGTTTTTGGTCTATAGTATGACGTGAGAGGTCCATCATTCAAAGCTCTAAATACTATAGTAAAAGATACAGCATATTGAAAAATAAAGACAATTTCTCAAGATCTTTGCATTTCATTTCTACTCAAAGTGTAACGACAAACTGAAATGGATTATTTAGGGAAAATGAACTTCGTCTTTTGGATCAGGTCTTTTTCGAGAGATACGGATTTTAGAAGAGCTATCGAAAACGCATAATAATGTGGTTAAGACATTATACTCGTGTAACAAATATCCAACAGAGTCCATTTATGATGTGGCCTGTTATAAAAAATAATATCACGTTATAAAAAAATCATATACTTAAAAATATACTTAGAAATATATTTTCCTTGATTAGGAATACCTATACGCCATCTTTTCCTGCAACTAATTTGTTTAGCTTGTTCTTAACAGTTACTTATCACAGCTATTCTGGTATTCGATGAACAGAAATGGGAGGGGAAGTCAACGCCTAACCCCAGAATAAGTTGAAAAAGTGAGAGATTTATTTTTCTATTAACGAATAATACGAGTAAGAAGATAATACAGATTAATAAGAACAAATAATAAATATATTTAGGAACATACTAGTTTTACAAATGTTATCTACATATTTGTTTTGAACATTTTTAGTTGTTGAGGGGTGGCAAAGACATTTGTGTTTTGAACTTTTTCTCTACATGCGGTCGTATTTGCAGGGACTCAGATGGCGCCATCATTTTTTTGCAGAACTAGTTTAATATTGTCGCTCTGATTACACTACTTTATTCCACGACGACAGATATTAAAATAAGATTTATAATTATGGGTCAAGCTGCAAGCAAACGCTCACATTTTCAAGAAAGACGTTGAATTTCTCTTGTAAATACCTGATTAGCGTTGAAAGACGAAACTACGTGTACGGGTTCAAAAATATTTTAATAATAAAAGTAAGAAACTTCTTATCTAAACAAATATATTGAAAAAAACTCTACGCCTTCATTGACCCCTGTTTGGCATGCAACTGTTAATGGACGACAGCCGTTAAAATTCTGAATAGATCCTGGCCGTTAAGAGCAGCTTTTCATCCCTGATTAGTCCCGTTTTGTAGACTGTACGGTATTAGGAGAAGGAACAAAGTATTGTGCGACAGATCTAAATGTTCCACTGGGATCTCGACTCTAACTCATATACCTATTGTTTAATTAGGAGTACATACACCAATAAACATTTTGCGCAAAGTACTGAGAAGAAAGTACTAAATTAGACATACGTGTCAACTGGAGTCGCATCCAGCAGTGTTCATCGACAAAAAGCCGTACATCATTTTAGGTGGAGCTTTAAGATGGGATAAACTAGTCTCGAAATACGTGTATGGGTGTGTATTCTTTACATTAAAATTTATATTGTAATATACTTTGTGGTTGATACCTCCTCAATCCTGAATTAATCATGGATTACCACAATATCTCTGCTGGGATTTACGTCGATGTGACAGAAGGGTATTACGCAAAAGAACAAACATTGTGCGCCAGATCTAAACGTTCCGCTCTGCGCGAAGCACCGAGAAGAAACTACTAACTTGGACATAAGTGGCGATTCCAGTTCGCATCCAGCTGCGCTGGTGGGCAATGGCGGTGCAACGGGGGAGGAGGGCGCGGGGGGGACGCTATCTCGTGAGCGCGCGATGAGAGATAGGAGGCGGCTGGCGGCCATTGGCTGCGGTCATCTCGTGATGGTGAGCCACTGCGGTCCCGGACTGCGGCCTGCTGCGCGGCGGGGGGCGGCGAAGGCTGGCCGCAGCCATGGCCGCACTACGCGCGGCGACGAGCGAGGAGAAGGAAAGGCGGCGGTGGGGGCGGGGGCGGGGGCGGAGGGAGGAAGTTGTGCGGTGGTAAAAAACGCACACAGAAGAAAATGGAAAGGAACGAGGAAGGAAGGAAGGAAGGAAACAAGCAAGCAAGGAAGAGAGGAAGGAAGCAGAAGTACACAAAGCAATACACAGCAGAAGTACACAAAGAAAGAAGGATAGGAGAAAGCAAGCATTGACGGAAGGATGGAAGAGAAGGAGAGAGGAAGGAAGAAAAGGAGAGAGGAAGGAAGGAAAGGAGAGAGGAAGGAAGAAAAGGAGAGAGGAAGGAAGAAAAGGAGAGAGGAAGGAAGGAAAGGAGAGAGGAAGGAAGGAAAGGAGAGAGGAAGGAAGGAAGGAAGGAAGGAAGGAAGGAAGGAAGGAAGGAAGGAAGGAAGAGAAGAGGCAGAAGTATGAATCTCACGAAGTGAATGCGCGAGGAAGGAAGACATGAGAAAGAATGAAAGAGAGAATGGGAGAAAATTATGAACGGATAAATGGCAGAAGGGAATATAGGAGGGAAGAAAAGGCAGGAGTATAGAAGAAAAGGGAAGAAGCAGTGAAGAGTGGGGGCTAAGACGGATTTATTGACAATTATTTTTATACAATACAGGTACTTGAGGTAAGGCAAAAGAAGAAATCAATCGCAATGAAAAATGGTGGATTTTACATCTTACTGTTCATCTGTTTACGTTTATAAAAAAAAGAGTACAAATAACGCAAGTGTGTCTATACACTTAAGTCATTGATTGGAAACACTTATCGCGCACTCATTTTGTTTGTATTAACTTATAATTTTTAATTTGTGTTAATATTTAATACTTAATGTAAGGCAGACCAATGTTTTTGCATCTAGTAACTGATAGCTACACATGGAAGTTTTCTTATGCAATCGAAAATGTGGAAATCAAAAGAAAAATAAACCTTCACTTACACTGTTATGTTTCTCATTCTATTAAAGATGTTAAACTCTGATCTGGAGAAGGTCTGGGTTAAGTAGTGATGTACAAAACATTGTTTTTATAGATTTACAGAACAACGACACTTCAGCCAAAATTGAATCGGAGAACGTAAAAGAAATGATAAAAATAGGTCTACAATGTGAAATATCTCGTCAATATATTGGTTAAATCAAATTTTCTTGACAAAAGATAGGAATCTCGAAAACTCACCGCTCTTGAGCTTAGGCAGAAGTGAAGGATCTACGCAGCATGAACACAGCACGAAGTATCTGTAACAAATAGAAAGATAAGAACTTTAAGTTTTGTTGTTATTGTTTTTTAAATAAAGGTACCGAGACGTTGAGAAAGTGACGAGATACAAAATCAAAATTAAAGGAGGAAATTTCTGAGGCGAAAAATAGGCTATGAATTGAGTGAAAATAAGCAAAAGAACATAGACAATTTGATCGGGTATGTGAATATATAATATTATAGTAATAGAGAATATGAGAGTGAAACTCAGCAGGAAGGTAATCTGCAGAATAGTGGATGAACGAACAAATAAAAGAGAAGGTGACTGTAGGGGTGAGCGTGGAAGCAAGCGAGATCGTGAGACCGGAGACGAGTGTGAAAGAAAGCACGAAAGTTGTAAAGAAGGTAAGTGAAAAGGTGAGGGTGAATACACGAGAACTTAATGATTATCTTGGAGGTTTGTGTGGAAGTGAGCGTGGATATGAGCGTGGATGTAAGCATGAATGTGAGCATGATTGTGAGCGTGGATGTGAGCGTAGAGTTGAGTGTAAATGCAAGTGTAGAATTGAGCGTTGAAGTGAGCGTGATGGTAATTGTGCACCAAGTTATGTAATAGGATTCATGTGGCACGTTTATGTGTTTTTTAAGAAACAAAGAAATGCTTAAGTTGTTAACTGTCAGTAAGAGATAGTTTTATGATGAAAAAAAAGTTTATTTTCTCACTTAAAATCTAGATCAGAGCTGCAGCGTATTCGTAAATTCATAAATGAATATAGGTGCCGTGGTGCGTTATCGTTGGCTTTTCTAATAAAATAATTACATGCGTCGTCATTGCCAACAATAGTATTTATTATAAAAGCAGCTTTCGATGGCTCGGCCATCATCATCCGTTGTTTAGTACAAGAAGAAAAAACAAAACATTAAAACGTGAATATTCTTTTGATTTTAGAACAAAATTATAATAAAGGTTACTAATAATTTACAATTTTTTTGGAAAATATGTTTAACATTCTAGGAACTGGAAGAAAGAAAAAAATGGGGGGGGCGGTAAGTCATTTAATACTAAAGGAAAGTGAATGAAATAGAATTAGGACACGTAAAATTTGAAGCAGAAAACATAGAAATGTAAGTTGAGTAATTCATAAATGAAGCTTGTCTTTCAAACGAGCATGGAGGTGCACGCAGATGTCCGTGTAGAGGTGAGCGTAGGAGACAAGGCAATGTCGTGGGCGAGGGGAGCGGAGGAGGCCGTGGCGGGCGCTCAGGATGGGCACTCGGCCAGGCGCGCCCGCCGTCGCGGTCAGCCGGGCAATTCCGCGAGTCATTTCCGCGCAAAAACGACGTGAGCGGGGGCGGAGAAGGTTTGATTCGCGGGCGCGAGGAGCGAGGCGCTGAGGAGCAGTAGGGGTTAACCGGCGCTGCCTTTACGCCGCTGTTGATTTAGGCCTCCGGGGAGCTCTTTGTCCGCTTTTATGCGGGCGGCATGGAACAGGGCGGCGGCGTGAGACAAGGAAGGATGATTCTGGGGCGGGAGGCGTGAGACAGATAGGGTGAGATATTCGAGGAGGAGTTAGAGACGGGGTGGGATGGGGTAGGGCGGGATAGGACGAATGGGAAACGCAGATGTGCTGGATGTGGCTGGGCGGGGCTGGGCGGGGCTGGGCGCGGCTTGGGCGGGCCTGGGGCGGGCTGGGCGGCTGGCGGGGCTGGGCCGGGGGCTGGGCGGGGCCCTGGGCGGGGCTGGGCGGGGCTGGGGCGCGGGCTGGGCGGTGCGGGCGGGGCTGGGCGGAGCTGGGCGGAGCTGGGGCGGGGCTGGCTGGGCTGGGCGGGGCTGGGCGGGGCGGGGCGGGGCGGGGCTGGGCGGGGCTGGGCGGGGCTGGGCGGGCTGGCGGGGGCTTGGGCCGGGGCTGGGCGGGGCTGGGCGGGGCTGGGCGATCTGGGCGGGGCCTGGGCGGGGGCTGGGCTGGGCGGGGCTTGGGCGGGGCTGGGCGGGGCTGGGGCGGGGCTGGGCGGGGCTGGGCGGGCTGGGCGGGGCTGGGCGGGGGCTGGGCGGGGCGCTGGGCTGGGCTGGGCGGGGCTGGGCTGGGCGGAGGCTGGGCGGCGGCTGGGCGGGGGCTTGGGGCGGAGGCTTGAGTTGGGCAAGGACTGGATGGGAATCAGGTCGCGACTGGGGAGGATGTGTTGGATAAGGCGAAATGGATGAACATAGCGTGGGTGTTTGGGCGAGGTAGACGGACTGAGAAGAGATTGGGATGGATGACGGTTGGCCGGGGGCTGGAAATCTTGACTGGGTGGTGGTAAGGTGAAATGGACAAGGTGGGCGGGGATGGGTGGGTCTGTGGCGGGGAAAAAAATGGATGGGTCTGAGGGGGGTCTGAGCGGGATACTGGTCCGGGAATGGGAGAGGACTGGGCGGGAATGGGAGGGAAGGAAGGAAATGTGGGAGCAGAACAGGAAGGTTTGTGGCGTTTGTGGGCGGGTGGGACGCCCCGGAGCGTGTGGGCGGGGCGGGAAGGGTGCAATGGGTCATGAAATGTATTGTGGGACCAGACGGTTCTAGGTGTGATGGGCGACGCAGAAAGGGCAGAAAAGGGAAGGGCGACCGGAAGAGGAAGGTAGCAGGGCAAGAAGGGAGTGAGAGGCGAGTGGCGGTGCGGGTGCGGTGGGAAGGTCTAGGCAGCGCCGCAGGCGCGCAGTTGGCTGTTGTGGGTGGGGTTGGGGTGGCCTTTAACGGACCCGGCGTGTAAAGCTGATTCTCCGAAATCGTTGTTTCGCAGTACTCAAGAACTATTCGTCGGCCGTGTTTCAAAACGTTGGGGCTGCATCATGTCAAATGCGGGAATTCAATGAGAGAGAATAGTTCAGGTTAAATGCAAAGTTGGGAAAGTGCAGTTTCTGCTTTGTAGTGCATAGAAGTACTGAAGTTTAAATTACTGTCGGTTCAGGAGCCTTTGCGTTTGACGTGAATTGTTCAAAGACTGGTGTGAATGCGTCTATATTGTTTTCATTTTTGCACCCATAGCTCGCCCATAATTTTAATTTTGATCTATCATATTATTTGATCCCAGATTCTATTTCATTAAAATGAAATAATCAAAAACAATCTCTGCAAATGACTGATGTCTGGATCGACTGATCCTCAATGCAGACAGAGAATGATGTTCACTGTTGCTCTTGGTGTTTTGACAAATAATCAACAATAATTTTTCATGTTATGTGTACTAAAGCAAAGAAAATTTAGGATTCTAAGTAGGTTCAGCATAATGGAGTCAAACGCATCGACAATATTGATATCCATATATTCTAATTACTTACATCCGCATAGAAAAATCGCGGATGTTAAGTAATTAGTATAGTGTTAAATAGTGCGATGGAATAGGACTCAAATATGTTTTATCACTATTTGAAAATGTTTAATTCTATATTTCATGTATTGTAAGTAAAAAATAATACAAGTTCTTTTCCAAGCGAAAAGTTGTAAGGTCGTGTATTCTAAATTTAATTAGCAATAATATTTTAGAAACAGTTTATAAACCGACGGAGGCAGGGCTAGGGCGTGGACAGTGCGAGGGCGAGTTTCGAGGGCGTGAGCGGGATTGCGAAGTGCGAAGACGTGGGCGAGGGCTAGTGCGAAGGGCGAGGGAGTGGCGAAGGCGAGGGCGAGGGCGAGGGCGAGGGCGTGGGGCGAGGGCGTTGGGCGAGGGGCGTGGGCGGGTGGGCCTTGGGCGAGGGCGGGCTGCCGAGGGCGGGGTGCAAGGGCATGGGCGAGGTAGTGGTCGAGGGCAATGTGTGTGGGGCGAGGTCGTGGCGTGGGCGTGGGCGTGGGCGAGGTCGAGGTCGTGGGCGTGGGCGTGGGCGAGGGGCGTGAGCATCGGGCGAAGGCGTAGGCGAGGGGCGTGGGCGAGGGGCGTGGGCGAGGGCGTGGGCGAGGGCGTGGGCGAAGGGCGTGGCCGTGGGCGAGGCGCGTGGGCGAGGGGCGTGGCGAGGGCGTGGGCGAGGGCGTGGGGACGGCGTGGGCGAGGGCGTGGGCGAGGGCGGGGCGAGGGCGTGGGCGAGGGCGTGGGCGACAGGCGTGGGCGTGGCCGAGGGCGTGGACGAGGGCGGTGGGCGTTGGGCGTGGGCCGAGGGCGTGGGCGTTGGGCGAGGGCGTGGGCGAGGGCGTGGGCGAGGCGTGGGCGTGGGCGAGGCGCGTGGGCGTGGCCGAGGGCCGTGGGCGAAGGGCGTTGGGCGAGGCGTGGGCGAGGGCGTGGGCGAGGGCGTGGGCGAGGGCGTGGGCGAGGCGCGTGGGCGAGGGCGTGGGCGGAAGGCGTGGGCGTGGCGAGGGCGTGGAACGAGGGCGTGGCAGTGGGCGTGGGCGATGGGCGAGGGCAGAGGGCGAGGCGTGGGCGGAGGGCGTTGGGCGAGGGCGTGGGCCGTGGGCGTGTGCGAGGGCGTGGGCGAAGGGCGTGGGCGAGGGCGTGGGCGAGGGCGTGGGGCGAGGGCAGTGGCGAGGGCGTGGGCGAGGGCGTGGGCGAGGGCGTGGGCCGAGGGCGTGTGCGAGGCGTGGCGAGGGCGTGGGCGAATCAGGGAGGTGGGGGCGGAGGTTTGGGCGAAGGACGCGCAAAGGTGAAGTCACGAGGAGGGTGGGCGTGATGTGGGGCGGAGTGAGGACGGGGGCGAATGAGAGGTCTGGCGTTGAGGGAGAGGCCGCGGCGAGGCGACGGACGGAGTGGGGCTGCAAGGGTGGGGATGGGCTGCAAGGCAGAGCGGGGGCGGGGCCGCGATACTGAGAATAAACTAATGAAGGAGGAGATTGAAAAAAACAAGGGCGCAGTAAACAAGAGAGCAGTCGGGAGCGGGTAATTAGAAGGCCGTGGAGGGGCAAAAGGAGTTACGGAAAGCGGTGAGGGAAGGGTTCACAAAAGGGATGTTTGGAGGGTGGTGAAGGCGGTGGTGCTGTTGGAGGTGGCAATAGTGTGGCGGTGATTTTTAGCGACGGTAATGGTGATGAGCGGTGGTTGATAAAGAAAAATATTCGCCTGGAAACGACGCACCTGATGAAAGAGACTTCGGGTGATGAAATCATCAATTGTAGTGAAGACATACGACTGTTACTTATGATTGGCACTAATGAGGTTTAGTGGTTTGGGATGGAAGAAGGAAGATAAATTCAACACTGCACGGCCTATATTATTGATGAAGCTGAGTACAAACCGAATGGTTATGCTAGCTATGTTATCCAAGCTAGAAAATATCTGGCATTGCAGCTGACACGCAGAACGAGGAAAGAAGCAACACAGGTTGACGAGTGGATTACTAAGATTCAGATGACTGTGTGATAATATCAGGGGATATTCCTAATAGCCAGATACATCGAGAGTTGATGTTAATGGCTAACAGCAAAGTTGGCTTGTGTTGTTGAGTTTATGGCTAATGACAAAAGTTTTATCGCCAGTAAAGTCGAAGCCACTAGCGAGGTAAGGTGAACTGGGTACATATGTTCAAAAGAGTTGCTGCGTGAAATCATTTATTATGGTGGAACATTGCCCAAAGACAATGATTAAAAGTAGAAAGACGTAATATGACTGAATGATGCGAGTGTGCCGGTAACGATCAGGTAGCGAAGATTCTTCGCTTCTGGAGGGTGAAAATTTCGTCGGCTGTCCTACCGTCGGAACAGCGGGAGATTTTACCCTCCACGTGCCTCCAGGGCGACACCACCCAACCTAGGCCAGGCTCTAAGCTGCCGAAAATCATTTCCTGGAACGTGTGGTAGTGCAGTACA